GTCATGAAGACCTTGATCACGGAAGGCGTGCCGCAGATGGAATTTGCTTGGGTGCGTCCGCTTCGTGGACCAATATCGTGGTGTACGAATCCCTTTAGAACATTGCCGCGGATGCGAACAACGTCTCGACTCTCACCTTCGACCGGCTGATTTTGGTCAAACCTCTTTCTCGCGGAACTGTCGTGAGTAATTCTACATTGAGAATGGGGACATATTCAACCGCAGGTCCATTGCAGCACATAAATTCCACCAACCCCCTAGCCGACCCTGTCATTGATCCCAAATACTTGAGCGCCCCGCACGACAAAGTGAGTGATATCATCGACTGGGTAAATGCTTTAAATGCTAACCATACCTCAAGTTCGCATTCGTCAAAGGCGTGCAGTATACACGCACCATCGTCGACACTGAGCCTCTTAAAAGCATCATAGTCGGTGGGTATTCTGCGAACCCTTTCCTTGTCTCGATTTCGTTCTCTTCATCTTAGGCCCGGTCGTCCCCGACGCAAGCGTGCAAACCGAGGAAGATTTCCTCAATTACGTCAATACCGCGTCTGTTTCTGAGTGAGACATAAAGCAGATAGCTCGGGATCCCCGCCCACAAACTAACGTTCTGTGTGCAGGCATCATTTCGTCGGTACCTCGGCGATGACACCGCGCTTGGAGGGTGGCGTCGTGGATCCATCCCTCATTGTGGTTGGTCACCACCTCCAGCATTCTCTCCCTGAGCTAACTGGATGGTCTAGTACGGTACTAGTAATGTCCGAGTCGCGGACAATTCCATCATCGCAAACCTGCCCGGCATCCACACCGTGTCCCGTGAGTTCAAGAATCGAATCGTTGACATTCATGCAGTGCTAACAGGTATCCCCAAAGTTGCGTATATGGTGGCTGAGCGGGCCGCAGAGATTATAAAGGCGGGTGAGATTCAATAAAGTTTTCTTATCAATAGAAGCGATAGAGGAAATCAACACTGTCTGCTCAATTTTATTATTGTATCGAGTCTGAAACTGTGTTTACATTATAATCTCTGACTTGGGATGAAATTGTCTGCGACGAATTCGGTTTGAACCGCATGAATCAAGATCATGTCCGATGGCGGGGAATCGCACGATGAGGCCCAAGATGAATCGGGAATGCAAGTTGAGGTTATTACTGATACCGGGGAGCGACACGACGAGCGGGACCACGTGTTCGTATTACCCAAAGCATTTGGCGCACAGAGAGACATCCACTGGCAGTCGAGGATTCCTGTGCTGAATGAGGGTGCAAAGGAAAACGTTACAATCCTGCGCTTCTAAATTTCTCCCTCTTTTAGGGTTCCTCAATAACTATCAGACTAAAGCTAGCCACTGCAGACGAAGGACCACTTGCAGTAATATATCCTCCTCCTCCTCCTTCACCTCAACTAACTCCACAACAAAAAGTAGTGACGAATATTTTTCGCGGTATTATTATGTAAATGGTACAAAGTTCGAGTTCCATCAGAAGAGAGCCGACGGACACTAACACATCTGGCACGGGCAGCCTAAACAATAATCAGAACTCGCTCTGGAGCGAACAGGAAAAACTCACAAATGATGTCTGCAAAACATTCGCAGCAGCCCTACACGGAGCGACAAAAACAAACAGAGAGCCGTGGCGGAGGTGTTAACGAACCTTGCAGCATTCTAGAGCGGAAGCGGTCAGTGCGAGCAGACTGGGAAGATCAGGGCGATGGACGTACCCAGGCAGAAGAAGCATTCAACCATGCTGAAGTGAAATACGGATGTGGGGGTTCAATCGCGAGACAATGATCAAAGTCGTCAGTCCTGGGGCGTGGTGGAAAATTTGCACCGGGGGTGATATGTTGGAGCGTTGAGTTCTATTTTCCGAGAGACCAACCACCAAATCACGCAGCAGCGGCATGTCTCCAGTTTCGGTGGTGGAAAGAAGAAGGTGGTGCATTGGACGTCAGGGGCTGTTACATACCGGGGCTTCGGGCCGGTCTTCGGATGGTTCAAATATTCGCTAGGTGCCTTCCTGTGGTTAAGGGAAGGTGTGGAGCTCAATGGACTGTGGTAGTTTTACTGTGCAGACCTCAATACAAGGAAACAAGTGTAGAAAAAATGCGTACAACAGGGAAAATGAGTGGATCTTGTGGCAGATGATATTCAAGCGTCGAGAGCGAATTCAAATCGATCGACCAAGGAAGGAAAGAGAATGAATATGCTCAAAGTTCGGCCATTCTGTCGCCGCGTCGATAAATGATGTTGAGATTTCCTCTTGAACGAAGATGTCGCGTAGACAATCGGGAGGTCACCTACCGTGGCCGCAATGCGACCACTCGGCGCACAAAAAGAACCCGAAATGCGAACAGTCAGCTCACGGAGAGAATCCATCTAAATTCACGGTGGATTCTCCAACCAAGGAACGAGGAATAAATACATCCCCGCGGGTAAGACCAAGACCAGAATGAGGGGCGTCCCAGGCCAGCGCCTAGTGCCTCGTCTCTCCCGCGGGCGAATGGGATACATCGCCGGGAGCCGGGACGCGGTGGTGCGTCACAACACCGCGCCACCCACCCGCCCGCCCGCCAGCGAGCGCCGATATAGAACCCCCAGCCGCAGGCCGGTCCGATACGAGTCGAAGCACCGCGAGAAGACGCCCCATCCGCGCGCCCCCAAACCCAATTCCACTCCAACGCCCACTCATAAATTCCCAACGCCCATAAATCAGCTCGTCAAACGCAGACGCACCGCCTCCACATCCCAGCGTCCCCGATCTCGCTCTCTGCAGACACAAACGCCAAAACGCCAGCACCGACCGCGTCCATTCTATCAGCACCCGCATCCGTATCCCCGTCCTCTACACCGAAAGGAAGACAAGACAGGCTCTCAAACGCGTAGCCTGGCACTCTCTTGCGCTCGAAAATGCAAATCGAAAAAAAAACCCCGAATCGAAAATAAAAAAACACACTCACCGGAACCTCCCACAACGCCAGATACCAGAACCCGAGGCTGCCCTCGTCGCCGTTGCCCTCTTTTCCTTCCTCGTCCTCTTCATCCTCATCAACACCATCCTCATCTTCTCCCTCTCCCTCTTGCGCTCCGAGCGAAGAAGGCAAAGAAGGGGAAGCCGAAGCTGAAGGTGAAGAACGCCGCAACCGCGCCCCACCCCGATCCACCGCCCCCCCAGCGCGAGCATCACGCGCAAAAAGTGGCGCGCCAGCTCCCCCCTCTCCGGGCCTTCCCCGCCCTCCGTCCCGCCTTGTCCTTGCATATGCATACTCGGCTTCCCGCCATATCCATGCTCCCACCCATGGAAGGGAGCGAAGATACAGACGCCACGGACGTCACGGAAGGGAGAGAAAGAGCAACGCACGTCGCGTCCACGACGCACCCCGCGACCCACTCCACGCCCGCGTCGCCCAGCGCAACCAGCAGCCGCATATCGCGTCGCAGGCGCCTCGCCTCTTTGCGGGGTGGGGGCAGGTCGCTGTATGCGTGTTGCACTTGCGAGAAAGACGATAGGGAGGAATAGGAAGATGGGGAGGGCGAAAGCGACGAAAACGCCTGCCAAACCCAGAATAACAACGGCTCGAGGAGCACTTTCGGGGACCACCCCGCGGGCGGGCGCGCGAGGAGCTCGGCGAGGGCGGTGAATGCTGCGGTGCGTGCCTCGTCTGCTTGGTCTTGTGCAGATGACGCCGTCATTGAGGAAGAAGAGGACGAGGACGAAGAAGGATTTAAGGAGGCAGGGGCAGATAAAAGGGCAATAAGCGGCGCCACGACGCACGCGACATCCTGCCCCGGGAGGACGCCTGCGGGGAGCCACGCGGTGAGGCATGCGAGGGCGGCGGGGAGGGCGTCTGGGGGTTGCGTATTTGTATTTGTATTTGGGGAGGAGAGGACGGCGAGGATGGAGTTGAGGACGAGGGGTGTGGCGGCGCAGAGGGAGTGGGTTAGTTGGATCCTGGGAGGCAGAGGTTAGAATCTAGGGTAAGATGGCGGAGAATGAAATGAAATGCGAGAAGCAAAGGGAATGTGGGAAACAAGCGAAAGGAAGTGAAAGACCCCAGAAATGTCGACGCGTCGCCCAGAAAATGAGAAAGGCTAAATTGACAGAATGAAAGACGAGTATCTCCCAAAATGCGAAAGGAATGAAAGAACAGAAAATGTAAAGACAGCGTTATAAAATGAAACAAAGGAAATGAACTTACTTTGGCTGCGGCAACAAACTCGCGGCACCCACATCACCCCCCTCCCTCCCCTCCTCCTCCCTCCCCTCCTCCTCCCTCCCCTTCCTGCCCCGACTCCCACACCCCCGACTCCCACACCCCCGGCCGCCCCGGCACCACCCGCACCGCAATCGCCACAATCCCGCCATACAGCTTCCTTCTCACCACCCGTGCCCTCCCCGCCCGTCCCGCCTCCCGCACCAGCACGTCCCGCAATTGCAGCTGCTCGGCGGGAGAGAGCGCGTCGAGCTCCCCGCGCGCGACCTTCGCGTGCGCCGTGTGCGCGCCGAAGAACTGCACGTTCACCTCGTCGGAGGAGAGGAGCGGGAGGACGAGGCCCCAGGCGGCGGGCGTGCGCTGCAGCGCGAGGAGGGCGGACTGCGCGGTTTGGATGGACTGGATGTAGGCGTCTTGTGAGTTTTGGGAGGGAGGAGGGGGCGGGGAGGCTGCGGCGTGGATGAGCGCGATGGCTTGCGCGACGTCGGGCGGGGGGTAGCCCGCCGAGGAGGACGACATGGTGGCAGGCGATGAGAGCGGATTAATTGGACTCGGCCCGGATCAGAAGGCGTCGGCGTGCGGACGTAATAGGGACAAACAACCCTTGCTTTCCGTTCTAGATCTTCCATTGATCTTCCATGTCCTTGGCTCGTTCCGTCTCAGCTCTCCAACAACAGATTTAATTTTGCGCGTTTTCTCCTGCGTTCCTTTCCTTCTGCTTCCTTCTCAACCCCAATCCCAATCCCATGTACTTACATCCATAGTAAATACAACCGACCCATCACGCCCTCGTAGATCAGTGGTAGATCTCCTCCTCATAATAAGGAACTATATAGAAGCATTACGGAGGTAACGTGGGTTCGACTCCCCCCGAGGGCATACATCGTACTCAAAGTCATTTTTCTTCGGTTCCAGGCTCGTCTCATTGCCAACCCAGGCCCATCACGCAAACGGGCTGCACATCACGCCCTCGTAGATCAATGGTAGATCTCCTCCTGTCCATATTGTACTGGTCCCAAAGGCTTTGGAGACAACGTGGGTTCAACTCCCACTGTGAGCCATGATGCAATTCGGATCTTTTTTGTTTTTGTTTTTTTATGCTTTTTCTTGTTCTTTTCTGTTGTAGCTCCTCCTCCTCCTCTCTCCTTGTTCTCATCCTGTCCTATCCCACATTCCCCAGCTTCTCATTCTTCCTCTCGCAATCACATCCCTCCATTCCTCCATCTCACGAAGCTCACTTCATCAATCTGTTCTCATCTTCCCACCAAGGTAGATCACCCACCGCATCGGGTGGTGCATCATGCCCTCGTGGATCAACGGTAGATCTCCTCCTCACAGTGCTGTCGTTATCAGAGTCATGTTATGGAGGTGATGTGGGTTCGACTCCCACCGAGGGCATAAGCCAGTGCATTTGAATTTTTTCTGCTACGCACCTCTGGCATCCCTTCGAAATACACTACCGGGGCTTTCTTTATGGATTTGCTTTGTGTATTTACTGCCATAAAACTACACAGACAACATGGGTGCATTTTTGCCTCTGCTGATTTTATCCTCCGGGTCTTGCACCCATTCATCTTAACCTACTTCTCCGCACCACTCACATCCCATCCACTGACACCAACCCATCATGCCATCATAGATCAGCGGTAGATTTCCTCCTCACAATCACAATCCATGATGCACCATTACGGAGGCGACGTGGGTTCGACTCCCACCGAGGGCATTGCACGGGGAATGAGCTCATTTTTGTTTGTTTTATTCCAGACCTCTCGTCCGAATTCCAATCCTACTGTGCAACTATCGCGCTCTCGTAGATCAGTGGTGGATCTCCTCCTCACAATCATCCGCTTCGAAATGACTTATGGAGGCCACGTGGGTTCGACTCCCACCGAGGGCAATGTGCAACGCAATTTTTTTTTTTTTTTGAAGCGTTTAAAATAATGCCACCCAATCTGCAAAGTACTCCACCGATAAAACTGTTTCCAGTATAGCCGGGAAGCAGTCCAGGAGGAGTTACGCACTTAGGTGGGACTATTATCCTACTCCATTTTTGAGTGTTGGGCCGTATACCCACTAAAACCCGACCAGTCATCCAGCAGGGAATCTTCGTCAAGGAAGTGTCAAGCACTAGTTGCTTTTTATATGTTTTTTTTTTTTGCTGTTTCTTTTTTTCTTTTTCCGTTGCATCCTCCCCTTGTCCGCATCCTCATCCTCATCCCATCCCGTGTTCCCAGCTTCTCATTCACAATTTTCCCTCTGGCTGCAATCTCACTCAAGTCAGTAAGCTCACCTTGTCAATCTGTTCTCGTCTTCCCCACCCTCCTCAATGATGGTACCCCACACCCTTGTAGATCAGTGGTGGATCCCGTCTACATTATTCGACAGCATGAAGTGTTTTTTCTTTTTCTTTTTGATCCCCATTTCCAGTCCTACTGTGCCCATTTTACCCATCACGCCCTCGTAGATCAGCAGTAAATCTCCTGCTTACATTCCGTTGGTGTGATCATTATGGGTTCGCCTCCCACCGAGGGCATGACCGTGGTAAAGAATAGTTTCTTTTTTGTTCCATCTCATCCCACTTCCAATCTCACTTTGCATCTATCAAGCCCATCTTGCGAACACAGTACCCATCAAGCCCTCGTAGATCAACAGTAGATCTCCTCCCTTACATTATGTTTCAATATCATAACTATGGAGGTGACATGGGTTCGACTCCCACTGTGGGCATAACCAGAACATTGCACCTTTTTCTTCTTGGCCATGAACCTCTGGCACTGGTTTCCCTTCGTATCCCAAATCCTTCGAAATACAGTGCCCTCGTAGATCAACGGTAGATCTCCTTCCATTAGCATTGGTTTGCTTGCCACTATGGAGGCCATGTGGGTTCAACTCCCACCGTGGGCACTCTCCATATAGATGAATTCTACTTTTTGCTTCTTGGTTGCAGAACTCTGGCACTGGTTTCTCCACTGTCGAAGGTAAACCAATAACCCGTGAGGATTACAGTGCACAATGAGAGATGATGATGGGGGAGATAGAACCACAGAGGTTCCAGAGTGAAGAACCTGGAGGAGACTACGTCCAGGTCAAGGTAAGGTCCTATAATTGACAAGGTAGAATCTACTGTACAGGAGATTCTACTACAAGCTTTATACTGCCATTAGGCTAGGGATATCGTGATCATACTGTTGTTTCACCCTAATTACTCCTGAATTAAGGAGTTACATAGATACCAATCCAAGCCCTGGTTATCCTCCGTGCAACATGATTTGAAAAGTAAACACGGTCAGGTGACCATGCAAAATGTGTTGGTTTCATGACATGAACAGACTACATTTGCGGGGTGGCGTGGGGACTTCTGTCAAGTGTATGGGGCAGAAGAAATCCTTTTGCTTATTCTCACCTGATTTTTTCTCCAAACAACTCCAGGTCTTGTAACCATTCATCTCACAAGTTCCTTCTCTTCACCTCACTGTAAGCAAAACCGGTATCATGCGGGATACGGATGTTAGCATGCAGTCGTAGCACGTTGTGAGCCGGCTCCATGTGCCGACTCCGGAATCTTGTAATATCCATGATGGTGGAGAAGCGGCAGTGATAATTCTTTACGACCACGGAAACATAGGCATCGGGATAAAAAGAGACGGCACCACTGATAAGCCGTGAAATCAAGTACACATGAATTTTGCGATTTTGCACGATTCAGCGTGTCAACACGCACTGAGGGACCATCAGGGCACTCTGACTGAGTGGTCCAGTCTATTAGCACAAGCTACGAGGTTAATGAGAACTTCTACCAGTACCTTCACAAATGGGGCCACCAGATCTCTTAGTTAACTAAGGAAACTTGACGATGGTGGCAGAGAAACTAGGACATACAAGGCCTAAGGCTGCTTGCTAGGACACAAACAGCATACCAAAGAGGTTATGAAGGTGAGATACCGATTGCTGGCAGGCAACAGTGGGAAGAACCCAATTATTCACAACGAGACTATTTAGACCTGTTTTACCTGAAACTGGGGACACATTTGATCACGCACTGGGTCCAGACCGAGTCTGGGGATTACTTGAACAGTAGGACATGATCCAGCCGTTTAGCTGCGAGGATAAACAAGAGAGAGAGAGACATATAGAGCTATTGTGGTACGACCACAGAACCAAACCAAGGACTATGGGGTATCATTCGAAACGTAGAAGAGTTGTGCAGAAGCTTCAAGACTATTCAGGCCCAGGACTAGAGGCTACAGACGAAGAAGACACTTTCTACCCAATTATTCAGTGATCGAATTAAGGAGTCATCCTCCACATGGACATTGTCAATCATCACATGTCTCAACAAGATACAACCAATCAGGAGCCAGGAATTGGGATTTGGATGCCACGGACCAACGGACATTGTACAGTAATCATTGTGATGTAAAACCTAGGGCAAGCTAGCACATCTAGGGGCGCTGCACACATCATGTCAGCCACTGGAACCATTTCTCTGATAGACGTGGAGGTTAGATTGCTTTGAAGAAATTATATACCAGACTCAGAATCAGAACACGGCAATTGTTAGAACACGGCACAGAGACAGAACACGGCAAACAGACCCAGAACACTGAAACAGAACACTGACCCCGTTGTAAGACACCAAAGCACAGACTTAACGGTCTTAAAACCAACCCTATATTGTCCCCTCGACATCCTAGACGTTATCTGTCCAATACAACTTGACTTGACCAGTCAAACCTTGCAAAAGCGTGAGCAACCCTTAGTTAACTAAGTGATCAACCGAGAAACCAGCTGCTATCAAGTCTAATACTTGACTTACACCCCCGAACTTGCACTCTGACTCTCTCTATTGAGGGGTTAGTTGTTGATAGTGTTGTGTGTTGTGTGTGGTTTTGAGTTCATAGCTCTGCTGCATTAGCATTTTGCATTTCACATTCACGCATACCTGAGAGTTAGTGTTCCACCGCCGGGAGCCGAACCTGGGACCTCCGCAGGGGAGATACTACAGCCCCCAACTAACTGCGGTGCATTACCCTATGCCATGGTGCCAATACGGAGATCCTCTCGGAAGTCACAATTCTCCATCCACAGGGTCAACACGCTCACCCGATCCGAGGCTCGAAGAAATCCGCCCAACGATGTAAAGCATAGAAACACTGTACGACAACTCCGCCTCTCGGAAAAACGAAGTCTGCCAACTATAAAAAGCATGGAAACACTGTTAACAAGATAGCTCAGAGACCTCTGAAAAAACCCCGTGTCCATTTGTGCATCGGCACCATAGCATAGGGAGATGCACCGCAGATTGGTAGGCCTTTGGTACCTCACTTCATCGGAGGTCCCGGGTTCAACTCCTGGCGGTGCCACTTATTTTTACTATCTCTTTCTCGACCTCGCCTTTGCTCTTCCACCAGTGGTAGCACAGGGGATCCACTTTCCGGGTTTTCCATGCCGCTTTCAATATACCCGCTCCACCAACAACAATTGTGCCTCCACCTGATACGCGCACCGTCCGATACCAACGGAAAGGGGGCGCCAGAACTCGGTGTCATGGATACCACTCTGCCTGAGCTCTCATTGGACAGAGCCACCCCATCAACTAGAAGCAATGCGACCAGGCACACTGCTGGTACCGTTACTTCGGGACTCTGCCTCATCATCTAGTCTGGCGGAGCATTGACCTCAAGGAAGAAACATCGGACCACTGCCAATCTTGAAGCGAAACTTCCCAAAACGGGATGTGATAAGTGATGGTCAACTGTGGTATCCAAAACGGGATGAATTGGGAGAGGCAGAGTGGGAAAAATGCACTCCGCTGTGGGTTTTCATCCCTCCGCCCGTGAACAAAAGGAGTATGACAGGCGTGTGGGAATGTGCGCCTTGAGGCTCCGTAGGAATCGGGAAAGCAGCTTATTAAGTCGGTCTTTCACGAAATAGGTCAGCAATTGCCGCAGGGTCTATCGCAATAAATCCCAGCAACATCCGGATTAAATAATGAAAGGCAATTCTGGTGCAAAATAAATGTTCATAGCAGGATTCACACCAGTGACCTCTTGGGTAGGGTTTTTCCTGAAAATCAATGATACAGGCAGAATGACCACTACACTATTCCACCATTGCAAAGAGTGTTTGTTCCTCCAACTAACCCTACCCAAAAGACCCATTTTTGAAAGTCTCCTCAATAGATACCTGGAGGCTAACCTCTAACCTCTAACCCTAACCTCTAACCACTAACCTCTAACCTCTAACCTTCTAACCCTAACCCTAACCCTAACCACTAACCAGGCCGGGCTAGATGGGGTTTTGAGTTTGAATCCTGTCACGAACATTCTTTTATTACCCTATAATGCTGCTGGACTGTTTCACAATAGACTCCCTGGCAATTGCCAGGCTATTTCACGAAACAAGCCCCTACTCAGGTGGGGAAAGCGGAGTCCACAAGGCAGGCAGAGACCCACCGCATGGACAGGAACGATGGTGGAGGGCCAACAATACTCCGGGCGGGCTGTGTATGGGCTCCGCCAGGGTGTAAATAAGGTGTAGACACTTCAGTAACAATATCTAGTTCTCCCCTTGCAATCTAGGTATTTAAACAGCCTAAGGGTGAAAGGGACCAGCCAATCAAAGAACCTAAGGTCACCGAGACCAAAGGGAACACCTTCACTTCCCTTCCGCCTCACTCTGCCGCTGTCCCCTCACAGTGGAGACACATATACCCACTCCTTATTCAATATTTGCCTCCTCCATCACCGTATAGGCCCAAGCGGAGCAGAACTCCCACTACAAACAATGCTGCGGACGACTCTGTCGTACTTGCATGTAGCTGTTAAAACCCCGTCGGGACACCTGGTCCTACAGTAGAGCAGGAGAATGGCAGCACACCATTCAAGAGCTTTTTAAAGGAGCGGACTCTTTGTTGGAAAAAGGGAATTCTCCGTAGAGGCAGAAGAAAGGAACGAAGCAGAGAGGGATTGTGTGGAATATCAACAATCACAGCGGACCCACCCTACATTCGTGTTTGGTAACACTTTGAAGTCGGACTATACGACCACGGAGACATATAAATGAACCCATATCCCCCCAGTCGAGCGTCAGCGCACCAATCCGCATTGCCTCACGGTCGACCTCTCTCAATTCCGAGTGTAGAATGGAACTGCCCCGCTTCATTGGAAGGCTTATCCTCCTGCATAGGAAGGAACTAGTGACCTTAGGAGTTTTCCATCAGGAGACGGAACAATTGTATACCACCACCAATTTAAAACACGACTCTGCAGCCATCAAGAGACTTCAGATACACAAATTTCCCCCTAGAGGACGAATTGCTGAGCCTGCCAAGCGACAAACTGACTTGCCAGCAGTAGCACCGCAGTCCGAATCACAACGTGTTTGAGTAGAGTAGTGTTGGTGTTACACGAATGCAACACAAAGTAGCAGCAAATGGATGATATGAGAGTTCAGGAACTCTTATATAATCAGTCAACACAGGGGACTTTCACCGAAAGAAGCCTTCCTAGGAGATATTACTCTTCCTTTGGTCCGTGAGCTTGGGGGTTAGCACCAAGTTCTTAGGACCGCTAATCTAATAATAACACGAGCTTCTTAGGTGTCGTGGTAGGAGTAGATAGTTCAAGTATTCAAGTCATAGTGAGCTTCTTAGGCGTCACTGGTTCACGCAAATGTGAGGGGTGCAGATACTGTGTATTGATAAGATGTAAGATATCCATACAAGTGGGACAGACTCCCCTTATATACTAATAACTACATGAGTCATATGTTCATGACTCACTAAGACTCATCCGCACAGCCAGACATAGCTTTGTCTTAGCTTAGGGCAGTTGCGCGATGAGTCTGAATCGTGGGATTGTTGGATCAAACAGGGACAAATAGCTGTGTCGTTTGGACGAAAT